CATCTTTATTAGAAATGGGAGCCAGCCAAGGAGAGTGAGTCCTGGTGAAACCCGAGATAATGAATGTGGTCAGAAAGAGGCAAGAATCCAAGTAGGTTTAGAAACAAAAGCCAAGTTAATGCCCTGAACGAAAATGCTAACGGAGGTGAATTGGAGCCAACGCCACAATTCTCTAGAGTGGTTTAGTGCATTGGTCGGCAAACTCATTAGTCAACAGAGCCAAATATCAACAGTACAATGATGGAGATTTCTTTTGAGAGCCAAGTTTTTTAAACTTAAACTTCTTCTAATGCCACTTCTTCAAAATAGACTTGCCCAGGCAGTGGTATTTTGTGGAAGAGCCACGCTCAAGGGGCCAAAGAGCCGTATGTGGCTCACAAGCTGCTGTTTGCTGACCACGGGACTAGTAAATGGGAAGGAGCCAGCTAATTCCCTATGCTGTGTCAGAGCTGATTGTGACTCAAAAGCTGACACCGAAAGTTTTCAAGAGGAGAATGTTCTCAGAGGCCACGGCTTGGTGGATGCTGATTTTGAGAGCCACGCCATCATTTCAGACAGCTGCTTTGATTTGCTAATTACACAGGGTGAGTCTTTATCCCACAGAGAGAGTCAACTAGGAGAGAGGTGGTTGGAGTGGGAGACAGAAAACAATCCTGCTTTTCAGCTCTAGGGAGTTTCTGGCACCAGATCCAGAGATTTAAACCTGGAAAGAGAAAGATAGAAACGGAAGAAGAATCCCAGGGCCTCCAAGAGGGTTTAAGTCCGTGAGGGCTGAAGGCAGCCGGGCCCTAGAAGCTTCTACTCTCTGGGGCCTCCAGCCAGTACGCATATTGTAAAGCTGCTCCACCTAATTCTAGAAGCTCCTTCAGGGAAGCAGCCTTAGAGAAAAGAGGTCATGGCATAACACTGAAGAGAGCTCTAATGGAGTTGCTCACTGATTTTCGATCAAAGCACTCTGATTTTTGGCGTCTATGGCATACACAGGAGATATTGCTTTGGTTCCAGACCACCGCAGCAACGGGAGGATAGTCAGCTTAGTTTGGAGGAAGAGAATGGAAGTTGTCAGATTAGGCCTGCAACACACTGACGACCCTTTGAAAACTTTCAACACGACATATACATACACATGCCCAGGATCAGGCATTGACGAAATTCCTTTTACAGCAGGGAGATTACAATTCTGTATTCAGGAAGCTGAATCTGGAGAGTATGTTGGAGCCATTTAAAAGTTTTGAGTCTAAAATCAGCATGTAAGAATTTATTTTATTTTACTTTTTGCATAGGTCCAAGATAGATGTGGCCTGGCAACAGACCTTGAAAAGAAATAATGAAGGACTTTAATTGACCGCAAACCTAATGACTCAACAGCTCACTGGTGTGTGTGGAAAGAAGGCTAATGCTATTCTAGTCTGCATTACTATGCAACAGGAGCTTTCCGGGTCACCTTTTTGTGCTGGGCTCTATGAACACAAGGGAAAAAAGAAGCTATGGCTTCTGCCCTAAACGACTCCTCTTCCAGCAGGGGAGACAGGCTTTCCTTCCGAATTCTTTTGCCGAAATAGAACTGTAGCCGCCACCTCCCCCCAACGGCAAGCAGCTGTTGGTCATTTATGGGAAAGTGGCAAGGCTAAGCCTTCAGCAAACAGGCAGGTTATTTCTTGCTGTGTTTACACATTTCCTAGCAACGAGAATGCATGGCTTGCTCTCCTGTGTGACAAGTCCCAAGGAGAGGCGTGCCAGAGAGCCATCAGGGTTAAACTCCAGGCTCTGCCTTCTTGGATCTGGCCTACGTACCCGGATCTGGCCAGTTCCAACAGCAGGCCCCTGACACACCCAACTTTCTCTACAACGGCACTTGCAAATAGTCCGTGACCAAGAAGGTTAGAACTTCCTAAATACTTGTCCTTTTCCCTATATTGATGAGGGTTCGTGGCAGATACATTTTAGGTCTGGCCAATGGTTGTTGGGAAAAAAAAAAAAAAGATACATATCACTCCTGCCGAGGCAGTTGATTGCTGGTGTGCCTCCAGATCGAAGGAGAAATGCATTTTCCATAAAGTCACTATTCTAGAATTTGTCCACGCCCGCAATTAACACGAAGTTACCTTGACTAATACAGCTTCTCCCTCCACCTCCGGCTGACTTTCTGCTGGCCCTCTTTTGTAACTGCTCCCCATCCTCCCTCAGTAATGCATCCTTCTTTATCCTCGTATGCCCCAGAGCTCTGTGTTCAACCTTCTTCACATCGAGCAAAACTGAGCCTGGAAACACTCCCTCCTAGTTCCAACTGTCGCCCTTGTACTGACAATTCTCCATTCTACTACAGCTCTCTCGCGTGGGGCACTTCTGACCCCAGGCCTCAGTTATTAAAAAGTGTGAGGCTTCCCAGGATTTAGAGGAGTTGATAGAAAATGAAATCCTTAGGCTATGTAAGCCAGACTTTTCTCCTAAACTAACTTTTTTTTTTTTTTTTTTCAAGTTTGCAACTTACAGGGATTCTAACAATCATTTAAAAAGTAATTCTAACTCAAGTTCTGAGAGTTACAAACCAGGACAAGGAACTTTGTAATCGAGCCAGAGGAGTGCTGGGGCTGGGAGTGGGCGGGCAGCCCTGGTTATATAGGGTTTCCCATTCCACGCCACAGCTACTTTGAGTTAACACGTCACCAGGTGTGGAATGGGGCAGGGATGTTTCAGCCTTCCACTGTCTGGGGCAAACATTTTGACGTATATGGTTTTTTTCTGACCACTCAACCAGCAGCATGGTGACAGTCTAGTGATTATTCTTTTTATAGATGAGGAAACTGAAATAATAGATCTTTACACTTAGGTCTCTTGCCAGTTCATTTTGGCCAGTGTTTCTCACTTCAGTGCTGATTCTGCAGGTCTGGAGCAGGGCATGAGAATTTGCATTTCTAACAAGTACCCAGCTGCTGCTGGTCGGGGAACTAAGGATAACTGCCCTGGGCTTGGAGTAGTTTAGTGACAAAAGGGCATCAGCTGGGTTCAGTCTTAGCCCTGCCATTAATCAACTGTGACCTTGAAGAGGATATTTCATAGCAAGATCAGAGAGAGCTTCAAAATGCAATGACCTTTTTTTACTTTCCATGCATTGCTATTTTCTTGCTTATCCATCTTAGCTTGTTATCACTCTGTATATCTGGAGACAAAAGGCATAGGGTTGGCTATATCTAGACTTTGAAAGCTGCAAAATCTTATCAAGGCTCCTGACAATGCACACTTGAGTAAAATTAATGTCTGGAATTTCCCTTCCTCATGCCCAGTTATAAATATAGCACATTTCCTGCTAAAGATAGAAATCAAAGATGGACAAGTGGCATTTAAAACATTAGAATATATTTAGACCAGAGATTATCAGCCTTAGCATCCAACAGACTTGCTTCAATGTGATTGAGCCCAAGGAGTCCTCACCACAAATTTGAGGCTGTTCTCTATCCACCTCCGCTGTCCCCATTTACCTCATGATCATTCAGAACTACTTGTAGGCCAATAACATTGTCTTTGGATAGACGTGGCTGGCTGAGACTTTTCCTCTTACTCTAAACTTGACTCAGGACAATCTCGTCATCTGATAGATGTGAACCTCTAGCACTCACCACCTGTATCACTCATCTTGGCTCTATTACACTATTCACGTGGATGTGTTTTGCTATACCATTCTTCCAAGATTAGTTTCTTCAGGGTGAGTCTACTTGGCCTCATAAAATCATACTCATCCTTCAAGATGCAATTCTGAGATTATCTTCTCTGGTCTCTATCTGTTCCCCAAGTATTGCATTTATCTTGGTAAACATCCCATATTGCATATACCCCTGGGAGTAGCAGTTTCTGGCACCTGAGACTCAGTAAATGCTCCTTAATCAGTCATCTATTTGTGAGTAAAATTAATCCCTATCACTGTTTGTGCAGAACTTGCACTTTTGTATAATAGGCTAAAAAAATCCATGCTGTCACAAAATTCAAGATAAAGCAGCAGTTCTTCACTAGTTGACAGGGACAGCGAGGTAAAGAATGTTAAAAATTGTTGAAAGTATTTTCAGATTTTTTTTTTTGAACACACACACACAACCCAGAGACTAATTTATGTTTTTGTCTACATCTATACTACCACTCTTAACAGAGCTGCATGCTAGCACAGTGCAAACCAGTCTTGCAATTAAAAAATATTTACTTAGCAACTGCTGAAAGCAGTTTCTAAAAATATTCATCTCCCCCCTTTCTTCCAATCCTAAATGTCTAACGTAGCACTTTATCACCACTATGACTTGTGCCACTGTCCATTGGCAGAGAACCAATGGACGGCTGCCTGACATCCCAGGAATTGTTTCCAATGTTTATTCAAACTATTTCATTTCTTTGAATCAGTAACATTACTGACTTAATATGGCAATGTTAAGAAAGTCTTTTTTTTTTTTTTCTTGCCCAGATATTCTACTCCATAAATGACATTATCAGGACAGTAAGGTACTTTAGTACTTGAGGAGAGAGAAGCCCCTTTCAGTAAATATCAATATATCAGAATAGCCTATATAATCCTAGTTACATGGAAATGCTCCAAACATGAAATAAAGTATTCACAATTGCAAGCAAAACTTAATCAAATTTACCTAGCAGAATACAAATTTTATTAATGCATCCTATTCTTGAATATCATAATGTATCTTAAATTCACCTCATATTAAAAAATTTTCATCGCTCTTTGTGCGGCGCGTGTGCCCGAGCGCCGGTCTGCGCGGCTCCCGCCGGTCAGTTTCAGGTGGCCGCCGGGAGATGCGCCCCGACTTCCCGCGGAGCCCCCTGCGTTTCTGAGCGACTGCGACCGCCCTCGCTGGATGAAAATCGACATCGGCCCTGCTCTCCTCAGCGGACAATTCCGGACCTACCAGGAGTGTCTCCGACTGTTGACATCCCTCCTTGTTCTTTAAGCTACAAAAAGGCAGCAGCTGAGTTTTATTTGAAGTCTGCCCTGTCAAGTGTCCATGATGCTGGGCCCTGAGGGAGGTGAAGGCTTTGTGGTCAAGCTCCGTGGCCTGCCCTGGTCCTGCTCTATTGAGGATGTGCAGAATTTCCTCTCCGGCTGCATAATTCATGATGGGTCCGCAGGCATTCATTTCATCTACACTAGAGAAGGCAGGCAGAGTGGTGAGGCTTTTGTTGAACTTGAATCCGAAGATGACGTGAAAATGGCCCTTAAAAAGGACAGGGAAAGCATGGGACACCGGTACATTGAGGTGTTCAAGTCCCACAGAACCGAGATGGATTGGGTGTTGAAGCACAGTGGTCCCAACAGTGCTGACACTGCTAATGATGGCTTCGTGCGGCTTCGAGGACTCCCATTTGGATGCACCAAGGAGGAAATTGTTCAGTTCTTCGCAGGGTTGGAAATCGTGCCAAATGGGATCACATTGCCTGTGGACCCTGAGGGCAAGATTACAGGGGAAGCCTTTGTGCAGTTTGCCTCGCAGGAGTTAGCTGAGAAGGCTCTAGGAAAGCACAAGGAGAGAATAGGGCACAGGTATATTGAAGTGTTTAAGAGCAGTCAGGAAGAGGTTAGGACCTACTCGGATCCCCCTCTGAAGTTTATGTCTGTACAGCGGCCAGGGCCCTATGACCGTCCAGGTACAGCCAGGAGATACATTGGCATTGTCAAGCAGGCAGGCTTGGATAGGATGAGGTCTGGTGCTTACAGTGCAGGCTATGGGGGCTATGAGGAGTACAGCGGTCTCAGCGATGGCTATGGCTTTACCGCTGACATGTTTGGAAGAGACCTCAGTTACTGTCTCTCCGGGGTGTATGACCACAGATATGGAGATGGCGAGTTCACTGTCCAGAGCACCACTGGACACTGTGTCCATATGAGAGGGCTGCCGTACAAAGCTACAGAGAATGACATTTACAACTTCTTCTCTCCTCTCAACCCTGTAAGAGTCCATATTGAGATTGGCCCTGACGGAAGAGTTACGGGCGAAGCTGATGTTGAGTTTGCCACTCATGAAGAAGCTGTGGCAGCTATGTCCAAAGACAGGGCCAACATGCAGCATAGATACATAGAACTTTTCTTGAATTCCACAACAGGGGCTAGCAATGGGGCATATAGCAGCCAGATGATGCAAGGCATGGGGGTGTCAGCCCAGTCCACTTACAGTGGCCTTGAGAGCCCATCTGTGAGTGGCTGTTATGGAGCTGCTAGCTACAGTGGCCAGAACAGCATGACTGGATATGACTAATTTTATATTTTATAAAGCATTTGAGTTATAATTTTTCATAGGCAACCAACAACCAGTGAAGAGCAGTTTATTACTCTAGCAGAAGCTGTGGGGACCCATTTTGCACCATGAGTTTGTGAAATCTGGATTAAAAAGTTACCTCTTCAGTGTTTTCTCATGCAAACTTTCTTCTGGCATGTGATATTGAGTAAACTAAAACTGTTTTCAGTTTTTTGGTTTTTCTTTAATATTTGGTAGCATATTTCAGGGGGTGATGTTATCTGACTTCAAGTAGTTTTAAGTACATTAAATGTGGATCTTTTACACCATACCACCATGAACACATTGGGGAGATGAGATTTTTGGGAAACTCAAGGTGCTAGATCCCTATTTCAAAGAGGAACATTTCTCATGTTTGTTCATTCTAGTTTATTTTCATTTAAAATCTCTTAGGTTAAGTTTAAGCTTTTTAAAAGTTAGTTTTGAAAATTGAGACACATTACTAATACTGTAGGAATTGGTGAGGCCTTGACTTAAAGCTTTCTTTACTGTGATTTCCTTTTGGGTGTATTTTGCTAAGTGAAATTTGTTAAAAGAAATTTTTTTTGTTAACTAAACTTTTTTCTTAAAATAAAGACTTTTTCACAAAAAAAAAAAAAAAAAAAATTTCATCAATAGTTACCTGATTTAAAAAACAAACAAACCTACTTTCGATTTTTATTAAGACTGTAGTAACAAACTGGCTTTTTTTTTTTTTTTGCTATCAATACACAGCTGAGGTACTTTGTGATAAATAGGTAAAGGTTGGCTGACAAATGCAATATAACAATTGCTCTGGCTTATTGGTGTCACTAAAAATGTTTTTAAAAAATGTGAACAGTACTATTTGGCTCTGAAGGCCCTGGTTGTGGGAACCTTAACACACCTGTACATCTTTTTGGGCTTTACTTTCACCAACTGATCTCCAAAAGGCCCAAGAAAACAAGATCTAGCATTTAGTCCTAAATGTGGACCCTCACAATCATTATGAGTGGAGGACTTATTTATAAAAACCGTCCCATCACATCATCTTATTTGATATTCATTTAAGATACACAGACATTGTCTTTTTAAAGGGCAAAAATTCTCACTTAAGAAACTAGAGAACTTAAGCACCCCCTCCAATCCTGTGATTCAGTATACTCGAATGTAAAGTGGGTCCAGACTTACCTCATGGAAGTTGAGGATTAGGTAAATTAATACATGTAAAAAACTCAGAAAAATACCTAGCAGATAGCATTGAGTGATATATATCATTCTGTATTTTAAATAGTGATAAAAAATAAAAAGGGGATATCATGGTTTTAACTGTATGAAAACTTAAGAAAATCAAGGTCCAGGCCTAGCTATGAAAAATTTACCAACCCATCTCAGCTTAAGTAGTCCCACATGTTTCTTGGTTATCTAAAGTGAATAACAGTTAACCGTTTCTTCTTTTTTTTTTTTTTAATATATTTTATTTTGTAGAGAGAGGAAGGGAGAGAGATAGTGAGTTAGAAACATCGATGAGAGTCATCGATCAGCTGCCTCTTGCACACCCCCTACTGGGGATATGCCCGCAACCAAGGTACATGCCCTTGACCGGAATCGAACCCGGGACCCTTCAGTCCCCAAGCCGACGCTCTATCCATTGAGCCAAACCGGTCTCGGCGAGTTAACCGTTTCTTACAAGATATTCTAGAAAATCTTTAAAATGGGGATGGTCATACTTCCCCACTGAGAATGAGGATAAAAATGTTAATGTCTGAAGTGTTCAGGCCAAGTATTTTTAAGCAAGTAGGCACCTCAATGGTCCTGGCCGGGTAGGTCAGTTGGTTAAGTGTGTCATCCTGATGTGCCAGTTTCAGGTTCACAGGTCAGGGCACACACAAGAATCAAACAATGAATGCATGAATAAGTGGGACAAATTGACATTTCTCCTTTCCACCCTAAAAAATCAATAAAATAAAAAATTGTTGAACTCCCTCAACAAGTAATGTGATTGTGTATAGATGTTTTTAAGACAATGCATACGTCCTGCTCATCTAAGTTGTACTGGCTTTTAGGTAAATGATTGTCTGATGCATTATTACATTTATTAGCTGACATTCTAAGAGCTTTCCCTTCTCCCCATTTTTTATATCAACACTAGAGGCCTGGTGCACAAATTTGTGCATGGGTGGGGTCTAGTTGGCCGGCCCAGAAAGGAGCCAGCGGGGGAGGGCCCAGGGTAGTTGGCCAGGCAGCCCTGCCCCAATTGGGGTGTTGGGGGCGGGCCAGGATCAGGTTGGTTGGCTGCTGCAGTGCATGTCATAACCACCAGTCGTTCTGGTTTTCCGCCATTCTGGTTGCTGGACTTTTATGTATACAAATGAGAATTTTGAATTCTCATTCACTGAGTTACGTTACTACCATTATTTGAATAATGTATTTGACGTAGATTTGGTAATAAGAATCCTCCAAGTGGTTCCCACCATGCCCTTTGGACATGCACCATCCTTTGAGATTTTCTTTCTTCCCGGGAACAAAAGAATGTTACAGGTTCATCTTGTACTTTCTCTGACCTGGGATTAAAGTTAGACATTTCTCCAAGAAGCATGGTTCCTTTCTGTATGTAGAAATTGAGATCTGGATATTAGGTGTACACATTGCTGCTATAGTTACTACAGGTTTTAGGTCCTCAGTGAACATAGCTGCGAAATAAAACATTACAAACACAATCCCAAAGTCATGAAAGACAAATTAAGGTCACTATACAGACCCACTCAACAACTGAACATAATACATGATCCTTGCTTTGGATCCTTCAGAGTTTGATAGTAAAAAGATTGGATGTCAAACCTATGTCAATATTAAAGTGTCCTGATTTTAGTAATTGAACCACACTAAAAGTATTAGGTGTTTAAAGGGAAAAGATCTGTAACCTATTTTCAAATGGTTAAAAATTACAGAACAAATGAGATAAAATGTTAAACAGCCTAAGGGAGAATCACTGTCCTATTCTTACATTTTAATAACAAAATTAAGTTACAAAAAGCTTAAAAGCAATTTGTAAACTAAAGGATTACAAACTAGAGATGGCTTAGTATGAAGCTTGTTTTGTGAAAGTTTATTTAGTAGATTAGTGGGGCAATTTATTCTTTCTTCAGAGACAAAAGCTTTTATCTTAACTGAGGATAAAGTTAAAACAATTTATATTAATATTTAAAATGGTATCAAAAGAAACTTTTACACTTTACTGTGGGCAGTTTTTGCGAGTAACGAAGTAGTTCCATATAGCTGCTCAATTTCAGCCTAATAGGGAATGATCCTTTAAAACTTCCCCCAGATAACTGAAGTTGGAGAACTGATATTTGGAACTGAAACAGAAACAAACCCCTTTTAAACCCTACTATGATTCTTGTCACCTTCAGCAAAGGTGATGATTCAGTCTTTTTCACGATTTTTATAGAATAAGGCATAAGCTGCAGTCTTTTCACTACCAATGGATGAGCCAATCCTCTTCGTTTTTGTCTAAATTTCCTTCCGAAGAGCACTTCCAATTTTGTCCATCTCTTTAATGGCCCTGCAGTTATTTTATTATCTTCCTGACATTCTCAGTCCCATCCTAGTTCAGATTTTTCATCTGCTGCTCTCACCTCTGTCTAGATTTCTAACCTACTCTTTCCAAAAGCCTTGAACAACTTCAAGACCGAGTTGGCTGTCCTTGTAGGTGCTCCAATACTTCCTCCTTTGCAATGTTTATACTGTGGTATAAAATAGCTCTTTTCTACACTGTGAACTGTTAGGATGGGATTATTTCTATCACTTCTGAGTTCCCTATAGCTGGAACAGCTCCAGACAGCCCAAAGCAGTTCAGTTCATTTCTTCAAACTCTTCTGCATATATTTACCTATGAAAAAGTATATGCTTGGGAGTGATAAATGACTAAGTAAAACAGAAAATCCTAAATTTAAATAACTATAACATACACTCTGGGTGGCCACCTCATTAGGAAGAATGTGGACCTACTGATCTAATAAGACTTTCTCCACATCCATTTTATTCTTCCATTCATTCAGAAATCACCCAATGTGTCAGATGCTCTCAGATCTTGAGGTAGTACGGACACCAATTAACTCATCATGCTCCCAATACTTAAAGCAACCAATATTACAAATGTTTCTTCATTATTTTGATTGTACATTAGAGATAGCAGGAGTACCTCAAAAAAACCTCTTTAAGTGATCTGGTTAGACAAAAGTAAAAGGTAGACTGAACCCATTCACCCCACCGGGCTGGAAAGGAGCACTGAACCCATTCACCTCACCAGGCTGGAAAGGAGCACTGAACCCATTCACCTCACTGGGCTAGAAAGGAGCCGAGACCAAACCAAAACTAAGTGGGAATTCTCAGGTCTCTTAAACTTGCTGAGTCTGTAGTACCACAGAATTCCAGTCACTGTGGGTCCAAAGTGTCAATCAAAATAAAAGGCATTTGATCAACATCCTGAAATGTGTCTTACAGTTACTCTAATAGCTCTGATACTAAATTTTTTCTTTTTTTAATTTAAGGTATCACGTATTTGTCCTCATTCCCCCCATTCTCATCCCAAACCCCTTCCCACACATGCCCAGCCACTTCTGTCTCGATTTACCAAATTGCAGAGTGGAGGAGGAGGTATAGAGAAGGAGGGAGGGAGGGAGGGAGGGAGGGAGGGAGGGAGGGAGGGAGGGAGGGAGGGAGGGAGGGAGGGAGAGAGAGAGAGAGAGAGAGAGAGAGAGAGAGAGAGAGAACACGATGGTGTGAAGTAGGGAAACCAGCCTGAGCTGGTCTGCAACATGGGCACAGAAAACTTTGCTTCCTTTGAAAACTATCAACAAACTACCAATGCTGACTTTCTTGGCTTTTGACGACCCTCCTCTCCCGTCTTCTGTTTCTTTTTAGATTGTTTCTTCAATCTGCTGGCTCCTCTCTCCATCCATTGTGGATTGGGCCTTGGGACTCTCAGAACTATGGTGCTCATTCCCCACGCCTCTGAGTCACAGAATCTCACATCAGGCCCTACCTAAGCCCAGAACTTCATTCTCATTCCACGAATCACATTCAGCTCTATTCTCTGCAACTGTCTGTCTCTGATACTGCTAATTTTCATTACATTTTTGCATATACAGTAACCTCATTTCAGAAAACAATCATTTTACTTCAATTACATACTGGTTAATGATTAAATACAGAATGCATAGCCTGATTAAACTTATACTTGGCACCATCTCTAGCCTTTCCACATAAAAAGTAGACTTTCCAGAAAAAAAAGTTTGTCATTATTAACATATTCTAAGGAGGAAGTGGAAAAATTTGTTTTGGGAGTTAATCCCCAAAATGTTGTGAGCAATAGAAATGTGATTAAAGAAAAGTAGTCCAGTGAGTCTATTTTAAAGGGGAGAGCACATCTGAGATGCATCACAGACTGCTATGGTGAAGCATCTAGGCCGCCCCTTCTTGAAATTCTCAGGGTTCACTCTAGATAAGTTAAGAACTTATTGATAAACTGTATTACAAAGCCACTGTTCTCAAAACAGCCTGGTACTGGCACAAAAACAGACATATAGATCAATGGAATAGAATCGAGAACCCAGATATCAACCCAAATCACTATGCTCAATTAATATTTGACAAAGGAGGCACGAATATACAATGGAGTCAAGACAGTTTCTTCAATAAATGGTGTTGGGAAAATTGGGCAGACACATGCAAAAGAATGAAACTAGATCACCAACTTACACCATACACAAAAATAAACTCAAAATGGATACAGGACTTAAACATCAGACGGGAAACCATAAAAATACTAGAAGCATCCGCAGGCAGCAAAATCTCAGACGTATGCCAAAAGAACTTCTTCACTGATACTGCCCCTAGGGCAATGGAAGCTAAAGAGAAAATAAACAAATGGGACTACATCAAAATAAAAAGTTTTTTTACAGCAAAAGAAACCATCAACAAAACAACAAGAAAGCCCACGGTATGGGAGAATATATTTGCAAATAATACCACGGATAAAGGTTTAATCTCCAACATCTACAGACAGCTGATACAACTAAATAAAAGGAAGATGAATGATCCAATTAAAAAATGGGCAATGGACCTAAATAGAATATTTACAAAAGAAGACAGAAAGAAGGCCAAAAGGCACATGAAAACATGCTCAAAGTCACTAATTATCCGAGAGATGCAAATCAAAACAACAATGCGGTACCATCTCACACCTGTCAGAATGGCCAACATCAACAAATCAACAAACGACAAGTGTTGGCGAGGTTGCGGAGAAAAAGGAACCCTCGTGCACTGCTGGTGGGAATGCAGACTGGTGCAACCACTGTGGAGAACAGTGTGGAGTTTCCTCAAAAAACTGAGAATGGAACTCCCATTTGACCCAGTAATCCCACTTCTGGGAATATATCCCAAGAAACTAGAAACACCAATCAGAAAGGATATATGCACCCCTATGTTCATAGCAGCACAATCTACAATAGCCAGAATCTGGAAACAGCCGAGGTGCCCGTCAGCTGATGATTGGATCCAAAAACTTTGGTACATCTACACAATGGAATACTATTCTGCCATAAAAAAGAAGGAATTCTCATCATTTGCAGCAACCTGGATGGAATTGGAGAACATCATGCTGAGTGAAATAAGCCAATCAATGAAAGAGAAACACCACATGACCCCACTCATTTGTGGATAATAAAGATCATTATAAACTGATGAACCAAAAGATAGATATAGAGACAGTAAAGCAACAAGCAGATTGTCAAATTACAACGGGGAGGGGAGGAGGGTCTGGGGGAGACAATAAATCAACCCAAGGACTTGTATACATGCATATAAGTACAACCAATGGACATAAAACTCTGGGGAGGGAGGGGATACATGGGAGGGAAGGAGGGGGGCAAAAAAAAAAAATCAATAAAATATGTAAAATAAAAAAAAAAAAATAAAATAAAAAAAAAAAAAAGAACTTATTGATAGCTGGTTCAGCAAACATCAGGGAAAACTAGCTCATTGGCTTGGGTTCTAGAATCCTTGTTTGTTCTCTTTTATTATAGTGAAATTAAGTTTGTAATTGTTACAGTATACTCTGCGTAAAACACTATACAGTACTGCAAGGACTGGTAGAGATTAAAATATCTCTTAATATTTGTTAATAAAATATAATAAAAGCAACCCCCCAAGATTCTACTTGTAGGCCTTAGGAGCATGAGCACAACCATATGGGGAGGAGATAACCAGTCTCTCCCTTCATATATATTTTTTTATTTTCTTGTTATACCTTCCCAAAACAGAGACATTCAACAGTAGTTAGAATGGCCATCTCCCAACATTAAAAAAAACCTGTACCCCCAAGGGCGAACAAAGTAAATAGTAGTAACCTAGAGTTCAGCTGAGTGAGCCATTGTGGAGCCTTAAATGGTGAGGTCTTCCAATTTCAGAGTGATGTGTCTTCAACTTGTATCATCATTTTAGTGGAAAAACACAATTTAATTTTGGTGAAATGAGATTCATCTCCCAACAGGATTAGTAAACAGCATTCACTGAGTTTCACATTCTTCTTTTGTGAACTGTGAAGAAAATGAATGGTAGCTAGAAGATCAATGGGATTCCAGCTCCAGCTGTAGATGGAATGACGATATACCAGGACAAAAACACCTATATTTTGATTTACAAAGCTAACAGCAGTTATAAATCTGCAACTCAATTACAGACCAACTACACCACAACCTTTTCAAATGGCAAAAATACAAAAAAGTGTTACAAAAATATTTCAGAAAAAGTGCATAGTCTAAGTGCATAGTAAATAAAAGCACTGAAAAATATCTTGCTAGAAGGAGTTCAGCTTGGAAAAGTTATTACCAAAGCTAAACATTTTTATTTTACACAAGCTATACTCAAAAATAGCTTTATGAGACTGATTTCTGGCTAAAAGTTTCAAAGGGTTTATTAGTCAAGAAACAAACAGATTAACTGACGTGGGTGGACAGAAAAGAAGCGAAGCTGCCTACCCCACAAGTTCATACTCATGATTTCTGCGGTGTGGTGGAGCTGATATATCCTTTACTAGCAGAATGGAGTCATCATGGAATTATTGCTAAAGAAGTTTTCAAATAAAAAAGAAATATTAAGCTTGACACAATCTGACCAAACTAGTGTCAATTTACAATTTCAAGATTATTTTACAAAACACATTTTTTACACAATAGGCTCCTGGCAGCATTTTCAGACGAAAGTACTTTTAAATGTATTCTGACATGCTCTAAATGAATAAATTACAGTTAAAAAAAAAAAACAAACAAAACACCAACAACAAAAAAAACCCTGTCAATAAATCTTTCTTTCTCTTGGGTGAGAAAAAGAAGTCTAGCATATAAGATTGAGGGAAGTGCAGAAAAACTACAGAAAATGAGTGGGTTAGGGAGGGTCAGTGATCACATTAATCTCACATGTGATGTTTTCTAAGATTAAGAATCTGCTCAGAGCCAATTAACAAAAAATTTAAAGAAAAACTTCATTCTGCAGTTAAACCCTTTAATGCTTTTATTTATTCAGAATCAGTCCCGCTGTTCTTCTGAGGCGCTGGAGTTACAATAACCAAGTCCTAGCAGTGGTAGCACTAGGTATTTGTGCCTGCAAGTCATTAAGAAAAAAAAAAAAGTTTAATTTGAGTAACAGTTTTATCACTAAACCTAAAATGATTTGCAAAGGGGTTTTATGTAACAAGTGGCTTGAAGTAGTCTATTAAAAAATTGGGGAGATTTTGATTTCATAGTGACTCAGCAAGGCATTTTTGTTGTTTAAAAAAAACAACCCTCATTTCCTTACAGAAAGTTTTTAGTTTTTAATGAACTTGTAAACAAAAAAGCTCCCATTTCAAAATAAAAACAAAATCCCAGATCATATAGATGTTTACAGTGATTACATTTATCTAAGCAACATACATACATATTCATTTTTAAGATGTTAACTAAATTTCTGTGACAAATATGCTTTTTTTTTTTTTTTTTTTAATACCAAGAACATTATAGAGTTAATGCAGAGTCCTAAGGATAATCTAGTAGTCACTAAGTTTTTTTCTTAAGTCTTCACTTTAGATGCTGTTATTTCTAGCACAGGTAAGCAGGCAGTCTTTCATATGCTCAAACACTGGAATCTTTGGTTGCTACCATATCAGCTGGCTTGCAAACAAGAAGCCAACCATTTTAAGAATGTTTTAAGTGAACAACTTGCAAACCCCAGGGGTGGATAAACCCTAAGAATGCACAATTGTGAGCATTTACAACCATCACAACTGTGGCTGAAGACTGTTCATGCCGTTCTTCTGAAATGAGATCTCAAAGCAGTATAGTTCAAAGAAAAAGATTTTAACAAAAAATTGGCATATGCACAATTTCTCCACCGATTTGTGGTGCCAACCATTTAGTTAACTTTTCCACTTGAAAAAATGCAATAGAAAACTGGACACCATGTTTCACTATCTCAGTTAATATTCACAATTACAGCGGCTACAACTCGGGACACAGCATCACCAATGCTGCCCAGAGCCAGTTTATACTGAAATTAAGTTCTTTACACCAAGTAAATGGTTGTCCACAACCACTGGCTAGTGTACATATGAACTAAAATTTCTAGATTTTGGGAGAAACAAATGCTGCTCCGATCATCTGCACTGCTTCTTCTGTTCCTTGATTCATGCTTAGAAACCTGTTCAAAAAAATAAAAAATAGAAATAAAAGGTTAAAATTCCAAGTTAAAAAAAAACTCTTAAGCCACACCCAAATTAAGGAAATTAGGTAGATCTGAGCCAATGACTACTTTAGGATTGTGACTGTTGATTTTTATCTATTTGAAAATCATGAGCTCTTTTTAAAAACAAAACAGAAAAACAAGAAACATTTTTGTTCCTGATACTTTTAGATAGGAATAGTGTACAGTGATTAAAGCCTCCCAATCAGCATACAATCCTCAAGCTAGAGAAATAACTGTAATTCCCATAACCCTATTTTTTAAAATTTGTGTTTCTAGTACTTAAAAAATATGTTTACAACTATTTGTCAAATAGATGAAAAACTGATTGCTCTAACAAATGGAAAGTATAGTTTTAATCATACTATGTGTGAGTAGGATTTTTCTGCACATTATTTCTGATACAAATAAGGAACAATAAGTTTGAATAAATGTATTCAAGGCATAATTGAGTTATTCCACTGAACACAAAACTAATTATGGTTTTTTTAAAGAAACCTCAGATTCTAAATTTTTTTTAATCTCCATCAGTTGCATTAAAGAGAGAAAAAATCAACATGACACAGAAAAATATTAGTTACATGCAAACAAGTGGTTAGAATAAGATGGAACTTGGAGACATTGTAGAAAATAGGTCTAGGCAAAGTTCTGAAAATTAGGTACAGCGGTATAGCAGCAGATTCGGAAATTACCGAAAAATCAGTACAGCGGCCTGGCAAGGTAAAAAAGGCTAGGTTTTGTCTCTGATTTGAAAAAGTAGACAAGTTGCTCTTTTGGTTTTATTTACTTCTCATGCCTTCCCACTCTGCATACACACCCCCCTCAGCCACAATTAAACTCTAGGCCAGTGGTCCGTATGTTTGACAGGCTTGCTGGGCTTCCACGTAAAGACTTACCCTGATAGCCAGCTCTATTTGATCTCCTACTTTCTTAGCACAAACCATGTTTCTGTCAATCACAAACTGCTTCTCTTTTGAAATATTCTCTCACTTGGTAACTAGGAGTTTGTTTTTTATCTGAAGCCAAAGTCATCATTCATTTAATAAATATATTGTGCTAAGCCCTGAGGACAAGATGTCAGTGCTATACCTCTTGTCTCTCCATAGTGCCTTAACAGAGGCTAGGAACAGAACAGTCTTTATTGCCTATCCCAAATACTGTTCATAAACCAAATGCCGAAAATAAAAGATAAGAAACTTTCTGAAAATGTACTTTACTACAAGGAATATCATTATCTGGTATATATTATTGATAGGATTAGCAAGGTAAGCCATTAAGGAAAAAAAAGCTATCAAATCAAACCTGATTTTAAAAATCTGACCATAATCTGTAATCTAATCCCAATTTTAAAATAGAGTTTTTTAAAGCAAATTAAAACTATGTATGGATTAGTAAAATAAAATGACCTCTTTTGTGGTGAGCATTTGATTTAAAGTACTGCAATTATTGTTAAATGCCATAAAAAAAACTTTCCACAACTATGAAAATGGTTGGGTTTTCTTTTATCATAGCTTGCTTACATAATTATATGGAATAATTACTATGTTGAATATCCAGACAGCTTTAAATGAAAACCAGTCACTAACAAACTAAAAAGGAAATGTTACATTGGAGGCAAAATATGAAAAAAACTAGTGTCTTTAACAGGGATAAAAATTATATCTAAGTAATAATTTTATCTGTTCATCTTTTAATCTGATTTGAAGAACTGCTGGGTCAATTAATGATTACAATTGTTAGGGCTAGCCTAACAATATTCCTGGTACAATACAGCAGTCAAATCCAGATTTAACTCTTCAGATTAGCCGGTAGTAGGTGGGACACTCCGGCCAGGGATCAATGTTTCTCCAGTGAATTGTCCTAAGATGTTATTACAGTTTGTTCAGAAAATAAATAAATAAATAAATAAATGAAGGAGCATCCAGGAGGTATCCGACATTTCATCTTCAAGTACTAAGCATTCTTTCCCCCAGTGTGCTTGGTTTTGGTCTTGTAGTTTAGGTGGCATCGGCAGGCTTCTCAAAGTCCAAGCCCATCTTCACTGCAACAACAGTTAAAATAAAAAACGGGTGTCTTTGTTCCTACAATAAGAGGGGAAAGAAAAGTTAAAACAGGTTTAGAGGGTTAATGTGACAGATTAAAAAATTAATAACTATATTTAAGTTTCTTTCCAAATCTGTGAAAGAAAAAAATGTTTATTTTTATATAACTAACCGGGAGATTCTATCCCTCAATATGAAAAGTATGTTTCTGCTCCTATTTGTGAATTAAATTCAGATGTCCCTGAATATTCTTTTATAGACCCACAAACTAGTTCAAAGGGATTTTTATTAAATTAAGGTAAGGCTTAAAAGTTTATGATGGGCTTTTAAAATTTAAAATCCTTTCACAGTATATAACATTAACTTTAAAAATTTTTTAGATATAATATTCATATTCATCATTATGCAATGTCATTTATATTAATTAACTTTTCCTATAACGTGCTTGTGTGGTTTTCTTTTTTTGGTCACACAGAATCAAGCAGATTGGCAGTATAAAAGTTAAAGAAAAACAAAAAAAACTATAGTAACTCTCCCTTCTCCACAGAAAAGCATTATATTAGGAAAGATAAAAGAAAAATATTTTATTTTTATCACTGCAAATAAGATAAATGATAACTTAAGTATACCAGGTATACATCATCCCTAAACTGCATTAAAAAAACAGACTGATGATCTGATTTCTTGTCTTCCCTGTCACAGAATTCATTCTGCTATAGATTTCTGAGTTTGCAGAATTTTAAAATACCTGTTACAATTGATTCCTTCCCCAAATGGTAGATGGTCTGCATTAAACGCCACTGAGTCACAGTGACACTGTATTCTTCTGAGTCTTCTGAACCGCTGTATCATCCAGACAATGACAGGTTGCAAAGTTTGACAGGTCCAGCAAGCCTTGAAGATGTGGGCTTCAAATCATCACAAATCAACTCTTGCACACTCGTCTTCATTTCCTGTTCATTTATGTTAGTTCTCTTCTCTCCAGGCTTATTTTTCCACAGTGAAAAAAGCTGACAAAAATTTCAGCAAGCAGATGCAGCTCCCTTGTACTTCCTTGAACTGAGTGTATTCAGAGCACACCACTCGCTCCAGATATTTCAAGGTCTTCCCCTGTGATTTGGGTTACGTTGCTAAGTGACCAGTCACGTTCCTAGCAGCAATTGGTGAAGTCAGAAAAAGTTAAGCTAGACATAAATGGTACGTGAAGCCCAGTAAATAGTGGAAGGTAATTCAAGGAAGACCATAGATATGGTAAGATAATGTGATGGAAAACCATTTTTAATATTTTTTAATGCCAGCAACTTGACATCCAGGTACTTATGACAAAATTATGCTTAGTACTGATGGCTGGAGTAGTGAACTGACTGATAGATGGGTTAAGGTGATAAGAACAGTAGACTTATGTGAGGATCAACCTTTGATTTACTACCTTCTGAAATTCTCCCATCTCTGCCCTTAACTAAAGAAATGAGCAACTTAAACAGACTGGTAATATCTTGCAAATATTTCCTTCTCCTTTACTTTTTAAATGTCTTGAAAAGTACTTGGAAGTATATTAGAAGTGAATCTTTTCTTTTTCTCTTTAACATGTATAAAAACAATAAGTATAATAATCTTAGCACTGAAAACTAAAACAGAGCACAGTAGGCATTAGGAGAAACATCTTGTTTCTTATATCATTCTTTTTTTTTAAAATATATAGTTTATTGATTTTTTTTTTTTTTACAGAGAGGAAGAGAGAGGCTCAGAGAGTTAGAAACATTGATCAGCTGCCTCCTGCACACTCCCTACTGGGTATGTGCCCGCAACCAAGGTACATGCCCCCTTGACCAGAACTAACCTGGGACCCTTGAGTTCGCAGCTGACGCTCTACCTACTGAGACAAACCGGCTAGGGCTTATATCATTCTTTTGATGAGCTTTGGAATGGAACATTTCAAAAGATCTTTTCTTTAGCAAAGTGACTAGGATAGAAGCCTATTACATATAATAAACCTTTTTTATCTGAATTTAGACTTAAAAGTCTGGACATTTTTAAATGAATTGCTAAAACAAGTCATTATAGCTTTCTATGAAGAAACATTAGAGATTTTTCAAAAATAAAAACATTCTCATAAAATATACAAGTGAATGCCACCATTTGGGGGATTTTTCCAGCAATACATATTCCTGTGATACAAAGCTTTACTTGCCGAAGATTCACTTAAGATTCTCTGATGTGAAAAACTAGAAATATAACTCCGTGCATAACAAATAGACAGGATTTATTTGAAAAGCACCTTCTAGTCCTGGCTGGTGTGGCTCAGTTGGTTGGAACATTATCTCATGCACGGAAGGGTCTCGGGTTTGATTCCCTAGTCAGGGCACATAACCTAGGTTGCAGGTCCAATCCCTGGTTAGGGCGCGTGAGGAGGCAGCCAATTGATGTTTCTTTCTCACTTTACCCCCAACTAGAGATTGGAATCAGGAATAAGTAATCCAGACCAACTTTCAAACTCAATACTTCAACAATTTCTTAAGGGATGTATGACCCAGAAATGGTAGGGGTAAAGGTAAGGGGAATTGACTCCCTTTACTCATTTCATGTCACCTTCAAACCCATTAAAATCCCGTTTTGTGTAAAATTTGCTGGGGCACTAAGTTATACATCCAAAATAAATGTTTCCAAGAAGTCAAAAATCAAAAATTTTTTTGTTGTTTGTATTCTGTGGAATGACACATTTTAGTTGAAAGCAACTAAATATTTTGCTTGGAGTCAAATTATACCACATGGACATTCATCTCTGAAAGTAGTCAATGATATGTGATGTGTTTTAAGCAAAGTCCATTTTAATGTAACAATTCGTATAACCTCTGTGTTGTAATGCTATAAGATTTTTATAGGATTTTTAAGTTGCTTTTTATAAAAAAAAAAAAATAGCTACGTACAAAGTAAGAATTAAACAAGTTTAATTTTTTTCCCCCAAGGAAGCATACTAACTCAGTGGATCCAACTGCTCATCTTTAAGACCTGGATAGGGCAGGGCAGGACAAAAATTTTACTTGTTTATTAAGTAAGAAACACACAGTAAACTAACAATGAAACTAACTCAAAATAAGGTATAATTCTTTCAGAAGGCTGCTGGATGCCTGAAGTGAAATGTTCTAGGTCAGCTGAGATTTCAATCTAATTTTAGTGCTAGAAACTGCAAATCATGATGATCCTATTATTCTAGCTAGCTTTAGGCAAAAATTTTGTGAGAAAAAGCAAATATACTATAGGTGTCAGATGTAACAAGGTCTCAGTTTAGAGACTCTAAGTTCTTCTACATTCTTGGTGCTATCATTAATTTTACAATGATTAAAACACTCAACAGGGGCAATTAAGTCCCAACTGAGATGCACAGGCAGAACACTGGGCAAGCATTAGTGTTTGCTATCCTGAGCTGAAATTTCATCATCTAAGAACCCTCACTACATTAAAACTTCAACTGTGAATCTTGCCCAATATGGAAGCATCTCAACTTCATTCCTAATAGATGAGCTGCTGGGATGAGGATGACATCAGTTAATTATACTTCTTAAAGTATCCTCAGATTAGAGCCTACTTTTATATTACAAAAGAGTTTTAACACAACCCTAAAAATATGGATCAAAGAAGACCAAGTTCAGACTAGAGCAGTCGTTCAGAAATTAAACAATGAAGGCCCCCAAACCAAACTTCACCTGCCCTCTACTTCTAGAAAGCAGGCAGGTGTTAGGAGGTAAGCCCCAGAAAGGGGGGGAAAGCAAACAAAAACCACGAAACACAGGAGTCGAACTGTATGATAACAGCAATGGAGCTGTACCCTAACAGTTCTTCTCCTATAGCACCAAGAGTTTTGGAGAAAGACAGAAAGAAAACAGACTAGCAGTTCAATGGCATTTGCCCCAGTTTTTTTGTTTGTTTTGTTTTGTTTTGTTTCCAATTTGCAAGGCCTAACTGAAGAATTCAATTCCACATCAGACTACTAGATGCTGAATATTAGCATGATTTAAAAAAATAAAGCTAAAAGTAAAAGATCATTTGGAAATTAAATAACACATGTATGTAAATATTAGCTAAGAGATTTATGTGTCGAGCTTTTCAGTTATTTGAGCATATAAGAGCTTAAACTAGATGCTCTACAACTGAGAAGATAGACACTTTGGGGGCAATGCCAAACTCAGACTCACCTCTTGAAATCAGACCGTATTCACAATATTCCATTTTAAATGCTAAAGCATTAACATGCAGAAAAAATTCTTAACTGTTAGTCTGAAAGAAAGTCAAGACATCATGGCTAACCAGCTTCATTATTAAAAATCAACAAGTGTTAGGTCTAGGATTTTGGATTTATTGACTATACCATATTCCCAACACCAAATGTTTATTTTGGAAAGAGTTAATGAATGAGTAAAAAAGATGCAGTTGTTAAAAATGACCCAAAATCCCAAGAGGAAATGATATAATATACACACATATATGTATATACAAATACATATACATGTATATATGAACAAGGACATTTCGGGTTTAAAGTTAGTAGTCAAATTTTCCAAGGACGTTTTTTTGTTTGTTTGTTTGTTTGTTTTTAAACAAAGCCAAATTTTTATGTATTTTAAAACCACCTCCTTGATCTAACACTGTTAGAAATGAATGAATTACCCAATTTTGTGTTCAATTTTTTTTCCCTGTAACGTCACTTGGTTCTTGGCTACTAACCTTTCATGTTACTCTTGGTTTTGTCAGTTTGCTTGCCTGTGGGGGTTTGGGCCTGCTGACCCTGCCCACTTGAAGAGGCTGCCTGCTGTGCTGCTTTCTGCTTTAACATTGTCCAATCAAATGTGTAGTCATATTGGTGGTTCAGGGTTCTGGAAAATATAAAATTATATGTTAATCCTTCAATAAGACACTAGTTTAAAACACAACTGAACTTTCAAGACAAGGCATTTTTTTTTTTTTTTTTTAAAGAAAATGAATATTTTCTCTCTTAGGAGTAATAACTTTCAAAAGATTTCTTTCCCTATTGTTTTTTTTTTAACCATTCAGTTAATTAATTCTCACTTTATACATGTCATGATAAAGTAGGAGGAAAATTATGTCACCAAATTTGGAATGCTATATTTGATAATAAATTCTCTTCCCTTAAAAAAAAAAAAAAAAATAAAAGGCCGTCTTTAAAGCTTCTTAAAAGGGGCAAGAGGGTGGGAATGGAAGGCAGCATGAATAGCAAAAACACTGTCAGTTATTTGGGGGGATAATCATAACAAGGGTAGGAATAGGGTAGGAGTGGGTCTCTAAGTTTGTGAGAGAGATATCTATGCTGGTGGCTTGGGAAGACTCTTCTGGGGTTAGAGGATTACCTCCAAGTCTTATTATATCCAACCCCGTGTACTCTATCTCTCCCCTCCCCCCTCAAGACCAATTCTGGGTTGCATCAAGAGAACCCTAGAGTTTGGCCTGCCTCCACACTATCAAATACCCTATGATTGATATTTATATATATATATATATATTTTTTTTTTTTTTTTAATTTTATTTTATTGATTTTTTACAGAGAGGAAGGGAGAGATAGAGAGCTAGAAACGTCAATGAGAAACATCGACCAGCTGCCTCTTGTACACCCTCTACCGGGGATGTGCCCGCAACCAATGTACATGCCCTTGACCGGAATCGAACCTGGGACCTTTTGGTCCGCAGACCGATGCTCTACCACTGAGCCAAACCGGTTTCGGCTGATATTTTAATTGCTTTTCATTTTGGTATTGAATAAATCTCCAAAGTTGGAGAGTTCCATGGACCACCAATGTCACTTAGATGTAACGTAAAATACAATTATTGTGGAAAAGTTTGATTCTACTTTGAGCCTGATTCAACTGTTTATCCATCCCAAACTAAAATAATTTCAAGTATATTAATAAGTGGTAAAAGCCAAACAAAATCAATTTCTTAAAAATTTTCCACTTGTCAGAATAATCGTGTTGAGTAAATTTAACTAATTCCCCCTTCACTGGACTTTAGAATCTTAAACACCTTAAAAACGGACCTGAAAAGAATGCGGAATAGCTGCCTCAGATACATGTAATCCGGGGCTTCCTCAAAGCGCAGCCCACGACAATAGTTTAAGTACATGGCGAATTCTGCAGGGAACCCCTGTAAGTTCAAGAGTAAAACACAAAGTTATAAAAGAAACTTATTTCAGGATAGAAAAATAAATGCACTTAAATACAAACAAAATATGTATTTGAGGAGGGGGTTTATTATTTTACTGGACAATCTGAAAGTAAAATAACTGACTTGATATTCTCATAAAATTAATAAAAGTTCACAATCTTGACCACTTTATTATTACTTTATCATTTAATTGTGGTAGAGAAATATTTTCCCCATTAACATTATACTGTAAGCATCCTTTTGTTATTTCCAACTGCTTCATAAACCTCTGAGTTGGCTGCATAACAACCGACCTTAGAATACATCATAATTAAATTGTATTCTTTAACTAGACATTTAGGGGAGCCCAACTTTTTTTTTATAAACAATACTAATAATCACATCTGTGGGCATAAACTTTTTCCATGTTCAATTTCCTAAGGAAGATTCTCAAAGATGTTTATAAACATTTTAAGGCTGTAGATATTAGTCATCAAAAGTATTTTGCCACCAGGAATGTAAATGTACAAAGCATTAAAGTAACAAAAATCCCTACATCTCTCCTCCTTCAGTAAATGTGAAAGTGAAGGGAGGTAAGTTAAGTCTCTTTGCACAACTTTACGATTTCAATGAATTTCTCACATCTACAATAAGGCAGGATAGAATGGATTTATTTGCAATATTTATTTTTATTGACTGTATTGATATAAAGAGCTTTAAGTTTTACAAAGTATTCTTAAGCTATTCTATTTTCTAGGGTGAACATCTAAAAACAAAGTCATGAATATATTATATATCTTTGTTTTTTAAACTCTTAACCAGATTTAAAACTCCTCACTATTTTATCATAATACCTAATACTTTTGTGTTTAGTACTGAATCAATTGTGACTAATCCAAAAAAGATAGTCACAGCCCACAATTTCTACATTAAAATTAAGATGTAGTCCACACGTAGAGACTATTATAATCCTTTCTCTTCTAGAAAAATGGCTGACTTTTCTAATGAGCCAAATGAAACTTTCTGTTCCATGGAAATGTAGTCTAAAGAAAATATGTTTTGCTTCTTGAAGCATATAGGCTTTAAAGTTACTTGGGTGAATTATAACACAAAAATGTCTTATTTATTAATCTAAAATTTATTTCATAATTTGAAAAAAATGAATCCCAAGGTGTCTCAGAAAAGATCATAGTCTCCCACTCCATTAGCTCTTCTATTATAGACCAGAGGCCAGGGGCACGACATTCGTGCACTGTGTGTGTCCCTCAGCCCGTCTGGGAGCCCTTGTGCTGCTGTGGAGACAGGCTGCTGTGCTCACCAGCCGTCAGCCACAGGGCTAAGCAGAGATTTAACTGCTGAGAACACTGACCCCCAGGGGGAAGCTCCTGTGTCAACTGCCTGCCCCCTGGTGGTCAGTTGTGTCATAGTGACCGGTCATTCCACCTTTCGGTCAATTTGCATATTACCCTTTTACTATATAAGGTATGTATAAAAGGGGAAAGCAATTTTATGAATGGGGAGACACATAAAGATATCACCAATTACCTCCTCCAGAGTACTATTTCAACTAATGCTGATTTCTACTTTCTATCATCCAATTATGTAATTACACACTATTTTCTCATTATTTCAGGTATTCAATAGCCTAAAAGACAACCATGTGGTCTTCTTTCTGTAGGAAACCATGGCTAACACGGTTTTCCACAGAACATCTTTCCATTCTAAATTCATGTGCTTCTCTATAAAGTCTGAGATTTCAGAGAAATAATCCTGATTCATCCACACATGTGCTATTTTATATTCTGATCTGCTAGCTTTTGTTTCCCTACTCCTTTTGTACCAACTGTTGTCCTTTTTTTACTTAGAATATTTTTAAATGTAATTTTTCTCATAAATTAGTGAGGCTCTATTAGAAAAGTTTTCCTGCTCTCTTATTTTCCCTATAATTTTTAACAGGTGACAGAACTCAAAGAAACCAGAAACAGTAAAAACAAAACAAAAACGAACAAACAAATAAAAAAAAAAAACCCACACACACTTAATGGCAAATGGCTAGCTCCTAAAAGGATGTTTATGTTCTTGGATCATTTATATTAAAAACAAAATCAAACATGCACACCTACCTTACATAAGACTTCCACAGGAGTGGACATCTTCTTTTCACTAATTTTTTCATATTTTTGTTTCTTTGTTGCAGCCTGTGGAAAAGAATCAAACCACACAGACATGTTCAGTACTACTGAGATCCTTAGTAGTTTAACATACTAGACATAAAATGTAAAATTAAGAATCAAGAGATCATAACTTAGATTTAAAAAAAAACCCAAAGTACAACATATTTGAGTCCCCTCCCCCCTCCAAATGGTTAATTTCTATGAGTTTCTAGTTCAATATTTTTAGCTATTAAGAAATGGTGAGTCTAATAGGAACGTGAAATATATAAGATTTAAATAAAACATGGATGGTCAAATTTGAAATTTCCTTAACCCATAGCCAGCACAAGAGCAAAGATGTAAGCAAATCAACACAAAAAAATGAGCCCATCATTTAGTGACATTAATATCTTGTGTTGCCCAGCCAGTGTAGCTCAGTGGTTGAGCATCGAACCAGGAACCAAGAGGCTATCAGTTCAATTCCCGGTCAGGGCCCATGCCTGGGTTGCAAGTTCAATTCCCTGTGGGAGGTGTGCAGGGAGCAGCCGATCAATGATATTTCTCTCTCATTGATATTTCTATCCCTCTATCTCTCTCCCTTCCTCTTAAAAAAAAAAAAAAGAAGAAGAAGAAGAAGCAATAAAAAAAGTAAACATAACTGGGGTTAAGTCAAAATACTTTTCCAATGAAAAATATTAATAATGAATAAAGCTACTCACACATAAACACAAAACAATTTCCTACTCTCAGAGATAACTTTAAAAAAAATTACAGAAACCATTTTCCTTTAAATAATGAATAAAATTTTAACATAGTCCATTCAATTCTAAGACAGAGACTTAGCATTAATAAACACAAAAGAAATGTCAGGATAATTAAATAATAGAGCTATATTACTGCTAAACCAGTTTTACTGTACACAAAAGTATAATGGCAACACATCAAAATGAGAATGTCTCCACCTAATTTCTTAGCCCATGTTAACTTCTATCCAGATAAAGCTTCTGGTTGCCAATGGGTACCTGGCCTCCTGTCTCCCAAAAATTGTTCTTCAGGTGTGAATGTCAGATTCTATTAGCTTATTCTTACTGAAATGATTAGATTTTATTTCCCAATAAAAAGTAAAAATAAAGTAATTCCATTTTAGAATACTTCATATTTGAAAGAGACTTAAATAAAGATCACCCCCAATAGTATTTTTATTCTTAAAACAAGAGGGGGTGTGGGGTAGAGAGGGAAGTAAAAGGGAAATATCTGTAATACTTTCAACAATAAAGATAAATTAAAAAACAAAAGCTGGTCATTTGAGTCTGGTTTACCTTTAATCCTTGCCATGGCAGGCTGGTTCTATTAAAATACATCAAAACATATCCTAATGATTCCATGTCATCCCGGCGACTGGAGAAAAAAAAAGTAAATTTATAATCTGAAATTATTATGAAAAACATGTGAAAGAAAGCCAGATACACAGAAGAATTTTGTCAAGTGAGGAGCAATTTGATGTCTTGTACAAGAAGGTACATAGTTAAGATAATAAAAAAGTTCACTAATGGGTTACTTCTAAATAAAACTTATAGAATCCCCAATTATAAAACTTAACATTTCCTTGCAACTTAATTTTTAGAGAAGAGCAAAAAGGATTTAGCTAAACAACTTTCCAAACCAAAGAGCAGGGCTCTTGTTAAGTTTTGCAGAACCTCATAATTTTATCGAGGCTGACATAAATTAAAAATGTAAACCTAATTAAACACCAATATGATCTCTCTCTCTCTCCCCTTGAACAACATAAGTTTGAAATGCAAGGCTCCACTTATGTGCAGACTTTTTTCAACTGACCACATTCAACAGAACAGACCCCGTGTAGTTCAAACCTTACTTGTTCAAGGGTCAACTATCACATATAATACATACATACAAACATACATACATACGTACATACTTTAAGACAGATCTGTATATTTAAGAACTGGTAATACTTTGACCTATAGAAAATGTGAAATCAGTTTAACCCAGGGTAGTCAGATATTCATGGATATTTTCTAAAACTTGGCTTAAGGAGCAAAAGATGATTTATAAAAGAGGGAGAACATGAAAACCTAGAACTCAAGCAGAGAAACAGCAGATTATGAAGATTTATTCAAACTAGATGTTATTAATTTATGGTATGAAAGAGTAGGTCAGAAGAAAATCCACCAACCCCCTTTGGTTCATTAGTACTCAGAAAACATTTTCCTTGTAAAAATAACCTATAGTCTTCTTCCAAACTCAACTTTCACCACTACAATATAAAAGCCCAAGATCAGCATTAAGAAAATGAGTACTATCTTCAACTGCAAATATAAACATCATGATAAAATTGCATTTATGCGTATAACTTTTTATCATGCAATATTTTTCTTCCCAAGGGATGAACTTCAACAAAGAAAACAAAAAGGCCTCATTTCATTGGCTTTTCTGCACTGGCTAAAGCAGCAAGTAAAAGGATTACTAAGCACCCTTCAAATCCTTAGCCAAGAGACATCTTTAGATACTGTAAGAAAGTAACGGAAATATTAAAAAGACACATTAATAACATTTGCTATGAATTTTATTAACACATTCAACTGTCAAACTCACCTCTGTTCAATACCAAGATGTGCATTGATGCTAGCATATCGGGCAGTGCCAGTGAGATTTTTATCTTCTCTGTATGGTATGTGTTGCCTTGTCCTGTTGTCTCTGTACTTTTTGGCCAAACCAAAATCAATAAGGAATAACTTTAAAAGAAAATAAAAAGACATTATTAGGTTTTCACCTTGTTTAATTAAACTACGTTTTATTCATTAAATGGCATCTATTTTCTTTGTTCAAATACATCATAAGTAGAACAGATAATGAACAAACTTAACACTCCAATAAGCTTTTATTAGTCCTCATCAATAAGTCAAGTTTAAAAAAAAAAAAAAAGTCAAGTGTTTGATTCTGCCAACTAAACAATTTTACAGGCTCAGTTCATTCCACACCCAAAAGCCTGTGTGCTGTATGCCATAATGGAACCCGATATCCAGTTACTATTGGTAAACAAGACAGCTCTTAAAGTTTGATATTGACAAGGAAAAACAAGATTTTTTATTAACAAAAAAAAAAAAAATAAGCATTTTTTTTAAGCAAACATGCCTTACGTTCTACTACATGAAGTGACATTTATGCATGTGATCAGGTTAAATTTCTAGAAATTATAACAAGTTGACCTAAAATCTTTAAAAAGTACTTAATATCAAGGTGGCTTACAATCAGCAGTTTAGATAACCTAACCAAACACCAAACTAATATTGTATTATAAAATTAAGTTTAGTGCTCTCTTTCAAGTATATGGTACAAAGAGATTAAGATACTCATTTATAATGTTGATTTTTTTAAAAAGTAATTTGAGTTTACTCCCCATAATTAAAACCTTTAAAAGAGCCCTAGCTGGTTTGGCTCAGTGGACAGAGTATCTGTCTGCAAACTGAAGGGTCCAGGGCTCGATTCCGGTTGAGGGCATGAGCCTGGGTTTCGGGCTTAGACACCAGTGGGGAGTGTGCAGGAGGCGGCCAGTCGATGAGTCTCTCTCATCCCTGATGTTTCTCTCTCCCTCTCCCTTCCTCTCTAAAATCAATAATAATAATAATAATAATAATAATAATAATAATAAAAACCTTTAAAAGAAAACAAAACTATTTTTGACATAAAAAAATCCAAACATGTTCATATTTACCTAGCTTCTAAAGCAAAATAAACAATATTTACTTAAAAGTATAGCTTTATCATAAAACCCCATTAAGATTATTAAGCAAAGCAAGTCTAGATGCCCTCGTACTAACACAGCCCTAGTTCTTTCCATTAGGCTGACACTGGGATTCCTTCTGTCAGTTTATAACTTGTTAAATGCTGGAAAACTTAATTAGTCTGTTAGGGTTTGTGCTAGGAAATAAAGCAAGTTATTGATTTAAATGAAAAAGATCTGACCAAGTGTTTCTCTTAGGAGGATGAAAAATACCTATTTTAGGCAGGCACTGTTAACCTAGTCCCAACTTTAAGCTGGATCAAAAATACAATGAGGTTGAGCTTCTGTAACTATGTTAACAATCTTTATTTTATTTATTACTATAAAAAATTAAATTTTTTAATAAAATGTAATTAAAGAAAACTCTTAAAAAATACCAACTTAAGCAACTGAGTTATAGAAATATGAAGTGTTATAAAACACACACAAAAAACTCATGCTGTTTGTCTTATTATTGATATCAGTTTAGTACACAAGTTTCAAAATGAGCAAAATATTTCTCTTAGGCAAAACAGAAATTATGACTTAAGCTCCGCAGATTCACACTAAAAATCAATCAAGGGAAAAATAAACACAAAAGGACATCCGGCGTCAAGGTATTTAAAAAACCTCCCTAAGAATTATGTGGATTTTGAATAAAAAATAATTAGGACATAGAATCTCCTAGCTTCGATTCCGGTTGAGGGCATGAGCCTGGGTTTCGGGCTTAGACCCCAGTGGGGAGTGTGCAGGAGGAGGCCAGTCGATGAGTCTCTCTCATCCCTGATGTTTCTCTCTGGGCTATTTTCCAGAATTTCTTTGTTCAGTACTCCAAAGTAGAAAAAATAGGAACATCTCTGACATGATTATGTCTGATAGCTTCATTTGTGTCTAAATTGACAATCAGAAGCTCTATTTGCAATTCAATAATCAGACACTTTTTCACAACTAAAAAGACTGCTTTATAAACTGTTCACTAGAGTATTTTTCCTTCCACAACTATAAAGGATGAAATGTAATGAACAAAACAAAAAACATTCAAACACTATCTTCTTAAACATCTCAAACATTGGTATCAAAACAAAATACTACAAGGCAAATAAATTTAAAAACTTCTCTTGTAAAATCTAAGTCAGGAAAAGTAATATCACTGCCAAACAAAGATATCCTATTTTAAGAGCAAAGAATTGAAAATTTAAAAAAAAAAAAATTGAAATTTCTTGGTAATTCATCATTTTCTGAGATCTATTAAGCATCTTTAGTAGCTCTTTATGCTTTGAATTTAAAAATGAATGTAAACATATAATGGAAGTGTATACTTGAAACCACATGATTCCAAGGATACAAACAGGCGCAAATATGTAAAGATAGAACAAACAAGGAAGTCATTATTTAGTAAGTCATAAGTAATACATTTTTATAGGTTTATATGTGCAAAGAGAGGCCTAATTTCTTTGGTGAGTCAAGCATACTTTCTGTGGGTTTTAAAGATATGTATGTTCTAAGTAAAATTTTTGCCTGTCTTAAAGAATACAGCATGATTCTTCAAAGGCATGTGGAAATGAGTTAATGTTGAATATACTGGGATAATGCTATTCAGTAGAAATGCATTTTCTTCAGAAACATTACTGCCAATTTTAGTTTTTAGTATTTGTAACAATTTGTCCTAATTAGGGTCACATTACCCTGCCCTTCCAAAAGACTTAACAAAGTCACCTTTCCTAACAACCCAGCTAACCTATAGCGAATATAAACAATTCGAAAAAATTTAAAAATGTGTGAATTAATGAGTAAGTAAAAAAGAAGAACCAAAATTGCCTTACAATGTGCCTTATACACTTACAACATTTCCCTCTTTTCCCAACCAAACCTAGTCACCACAGATGGTACCACTTCTTTGTCCATGAATAAAAATAATGTAAATTGCCGAAACCGGTTTGGCTCAGTGGATAGAGCATAGGCCTGTGGACTGAAAGGTCCCGGGTTTGATTCCGGTCAAGGGCATGTATCTTCGTTGCGGGCACATCCCCAGTAGGGGGTGTGCAAGAGGCAGCTGATCAATGATTCTCTCATAGATGTTTCTAATTCTCTCTCTCTCTCTCTCTCTCTCTCTCTCTCTCTCTCTCTCTCTCTCTCTCTCCTCTCCTCTCCTCTCCTCTCCTCTCCTCTCCTCTCCTCTCCTCTCCTCTCCTCTCCTCTCCTCTCCTCTCCTCTCCTCTCCTCTCCTCTCCTCTCCCCTCCCTCTCTGTGAAAAATCAATAAAATATATATTTTTTAAAAATAATGTAAATTTGCCGGGACCGGTTTGGCTCAGTGGATAGAGCATCGGCCTGCGGACTGAAAGGTCCCGGGTTCGATTCCAGGCAAGGGCATGTACCTTGGTTGCAGGCACATCCCCAGTAGGGGGTGTGCAAGAGGCAGCTAGTCAATGTTTCTCTCTCATCGACATTTCTAACTCTCTGTCCCTCTCAATTCCTCTCTGTGTAAAATCAATAAAATATATTTAAAAAAAAAATAATGTAAATTTACGAAACCTTTACAACATCAGAAGAAGGTGGTCCCTAAAATATGCTGGGTAGTATGGACAAAAATTAAACATCACTCAGATGATGCATGTGGTAATTAAGGAACTATAACACATGCCCATATATAAAATACAATTTTCTTTTTAAAATTACTCGTGGCAATACTTCCTTACATTGAAAAAGGCCCATTTGCTCTGGAGCTTCAAAATTTATCTACCTAAATTTTATGATTAAAAAAACTATTACTTAAAAAGAAAAAAACAACACCTCTTTCCACTTGTTTGTCTAAAAATTCATCCATTAAGAAAGCTATTGCCAAAACCGGTTTGGCTCAGTGGTAGAGCGTTGGTCTGTGGACTGAAAGGTCCCAGGTTCGATTCCGGTCAAGGGCATGTACCTGGGTTGCGGGCACATCCCCAGTAGGGGTGTGCAAGAGGCAGCTGGTCGATGTTTCTCTCTCATCGATGTTTCTAACTCTCTATCCCTCTCCCTTCCTCTCTGTAAAAAAATCAATAAAATATATTTTTAAAAAAAGAAAGAAAGCTATCTAATATCTATAAATGTAAAAGATTGTGAATAGTTCTGCTTATGTTTTAAAAAGTTAGTAAATTATGGTGTTTATCTAGCCTGCCAAACCTAAATAACCAGATTATACTTTCATTTAATTTGTGTTATTAATGGTAATTGTTTAATTATGTTATTGTTATATTGTTAGAATGCAATGTCTTCTATTTTCAGAGCATATGTTCTGAGGTAAATCAATTCTAGAAACACTGGAACTGAAATCTGACCTACACTTACCTGAAGGTCACTGGGGAAGGAGAAGAGAGTTAAGGCACAATATATTCACCATACAGTACTGATATATTTCATGCATTGAGTTATGCAACTCCAAATACATTTTTAAACTAAAAAGTCTATCTCAAGTTTATCACTAAGAATTTCCATAGTAGACTAACACATCATTTTCTCATATGGATGTTAGAGATCTAAACACAATCCTGTTTTCATTAGGTTTTCTCTAAACTTTAGAAGTTTAAGCGACAGCCACAAAGAAACATCTTAGTAATGTTATGTTTGCCAAGTATGTCTGAATAATGCCAACGTAAGAGGTGCTTGAGAAAGATCTACATTCTCCAAAATTAGAACAAAACAAAAATAATCAAAATAAAACAATAAAAAAAGAAAAGCACATGAATTTGGGATTGAGTTTGGAATAGGAGACAGTTTCAGACCTGGTTTAATCCTGAGAAAGATGGGTCCTGAGAAGTACTAACAGTCATGCTTCTTTTCCTCTTCCCCACTGGAGATTCTAAACACTAAACAGACAATAGAGGGTGGCAGTGCATCAAACAGTATTGCTTACATTGCAACAATGGCCGGCGCAGACAGGCAACACCGAGGCATTAGAGAAAGAACAGGGTAGCCAAATGCCATCCTTCTTCCACCAAGCACTGAGCTTCTCAGTTTTCCAAATAAGAATCACATGCTCAAGAACATTTGAATTCTGGAAAATACTCAGGTTCTTAATGCCGCTATAGTGTCACTGCCTGAAACAGGGATAGCAATGGTGACATTTGGCTCTGATTTTTTAATAAAAAATGGGGAATTTGGATTTGTAATCTTTAGTACCATAATCTGCCCTTCTCTCCCCAAAAATTATACAGGGGGGAAAATCTTCAGTAAGGAAGAGGTAGAAGGCATTTAGTCACCTTAAAAAATTTATTTTCATAAGCATGCAGGGCTGATTACTGGAAGAGATGAGCAAATTCACTAAGATTGGAGTAACCACTCCTAAACATCAAATTCAGAACAATTTTCAAAATAATAAATTTTACTTGAAAAGTCAACCTCAAAAGCCCCCCAAACTATGTTTCCCAATTAATAGAGAACTACTGGAACAAGTTGACCAAATAATCCAGTCTCATACAACTGGCATTTTTCAAACTACAATACAGAAAACACTAAAAACCAACTACATAAACAAAACACTAGTCTAAAATGTTCAAGAACATTTAGAATTTGAGTCTTGGCTAAGTTAAAACATTGTGCTTCTACCTAAGGGCTCTCTGACTCTGTGTAACAGCAAGTAGCTCCACAGTATCCTATTTAATCTCTCTAAAGAGGACACAAAATCCTAACGATTTTCATCGCTGGGCAATTTAGACTTTCTAACACAACTATGTGATTAACAATCTACTTTATAGGGAGGGGGGGAGGAAGCAAAGAGGAATTATCTAGATCATAATTTTGTTTAAGGCAAAAACCATGGCCTTCAATGTCAATACAGATCATATGAGGATAACAGATCTTAGATAGGGGGGAGGAGGGGAAGAGGGGAAATGGGAAGAAGAGTGCTGGGATATGCCCAAAAGATTAGGGTCAAACTGACAAAATTGCTCCAAAATTAAGACCAGTAAATCTTTTCAATTATATTGCCAGGTTTGGCAATAACAATCAAGAACCTAGATGCTTCAAAGAGAGAAGCAACATAATATTTTTTTTTAAAAAATGATGATGCAATTTGGGAATGGCAAGGTAAGTTATATATAGATTTAAACACCTTTATTTTTTAAATATTTAACTCAGCTTCCAAAAAAAAAATATTAATTTCCTAAAACTTGGTCAGACCAGCATTAATTACATCTCACACATTAACAAATAACACCAGCTCTAATGGTAATAGCTCCAAGTTGGCATTCATACAGGCAAACAAAGGTAAACATATATAGCTAGACCTAAAACACCAAACATTTCCTAATGGTTTAATAAATCAAAGGGGAATCTTCCTTCCAAAACATAACAAAACAAAAAAACATAAAAAACAAAAAGCCCCCAAGTTGTCCTGAAGTTGAGAATTTCTATCAGATCATTAGATCACAATAATGCTTAGTGTATTGCCAATGCTGCCTGTCTGCCCGAGCTCAACATTGAATCAATTGATAAATAAAGCAATTCACTCAATACACTAATAATTGCAGAAAAAGTTAACACAATTTAGTTTCTAACTTCAATCATGCGTGTCACTAGCTAAAACTCAACCATCCCAGAAAGTTCAACCACCCTGAGACCCAAATGAACACTAATTTTGGTGTATGAATATTCATTCCACCTAATATTTTCCTTTGAAAGGGGGAGAAGGGATAGAGAACCCACCCAACTTGGCACCCAAAAAAATGTCAACTACTTTTGAAGCAGGCCCAAAAGTTATCCTTTTAAATACAGAAGTCCAAGGACTAAAGAATGCTCATTATCAAACATGCTTAGTCAGCAAATGTCAACACTATGGTTTCCACGCTGGCACAAGCACATGAATACAAAATAGCTAAAACTGTTCAATAGTTCAGTAACAGATGGTTATATTTTATTATAAAGCCCTTGGGATTTTATATTTCATATAGATAACTAACCTTGGTTGGGTAAGTTGAAGAAGATTTATTTCAAGATTATTTTCAAGTTAATAAGAGTTAGCTGATCCTCTAGTACAATATTTTAAAGCAATTATCAACAGCAAATTAAATTTACTACAACTTTTTTAAAAAATGCAAATTTACCAAAGCAATTCTTGGAGTTTTTACTTTGTGTTCTTTCATGCAAAGAACATTTGACTAACCTTATTACAGTGACGCCCAATACCCATTAGGAAGTTATCTGGTTTAATGTCTCTGTGTATAAAATTCTTTGTATGCACATATTCAATTCTACTGATCATCTGGGGAAAGAAAAAGGGAAGAGAAAATTAAGTCAAACGATTTGAATTAAACAATAAAAGCTATCAATTGTGATTGTTTTAAACTGAAATAGAAACACTTTATTAATTTTATTGTTTGCTTATTTATTTTTAATTACACATATCCAAAACATTCCTGGAAGTTGGTAGCAAACAAAATAACAATATGACTTTATATAAAGGAAGACATATACATGCTGAATTGCCTTTGTTTAACATATTTTGGGCTCTCCCATTTTTTTCTCCACACTATATAATCATATTCATATTCAAAATCTGAATTGTTACCATGCCATTCTGAAAAGTTTTTCTTGAAAATTTTATCAAGTCAAATGGTATAGGTCTTAGCATTCTTTAATGGCTACAAATATTCTATGGTATAGATTGTTTCCCCCCATCATCCCCAACTCACAGTATTGCTAGTTTCCAGTATTTCCCTACTGTAAGCAATAATGCTATTAGTAAACTTAAATATCATACCTACTAGTGTTTTTATTTCTATGGACTATAAGACCCACACAATTTCAGAGAGCTGCTGGGTTAAAGGGTATTTTTCATTTTGATAGGTGCCTTTTAAAATAGGTTATTAACAATTCATTTTTAACAAGAGTATATGAGAGTATTTTTTCCCCCACTAGTAAAGTCATTTTTAGTTCTTTCTAAATTTTGCCACTTTGACAATTATTCCTAACACTTAGTTTGGAAATCTGTTCATTTGTACTGATTATTTCAATTTACTACTCTCTAAACTGTCAATATATATTTTTTGTCCATTATTCTTTTGACTTGTCAAATTTTCAAAAATTCTTTGTATACAATAATCTTTTATCTGTAATTTATTATGTGAATAGATTTACATTTTTAAAAACCTATCTTTTAACTATTTATGATAGCTCTTCTAAAGTAGTTTTAACTTCAAATGATCAAATATGTCTACCTATTCTGTAAGAGATACTTAGAAATAGTTTTGACAATGTTCGCCATAGCCAGACTGCCAACATTACCTTCTACCCATGTTATTGGTCTTCTCAGTAGTACGTTGTCAAGATTATATTTTTTTATTTGTCTTCATTTTCCTGAGTTTTTATTACTATGAATATAAAGATTCTGAAACTTGTTTACCTTGACAAATATCTTTTGAAGCCAAATCTGTAATCTCTGGCTTACACTGTTTATACTCTCAAGGAAGTAGATATATGCAATGTCCAAGTACCACCTTGTTCATTAAGGAAATAAAACATTTGGCTCACTTAATGTACACATTCGTCCTACCTAAATAATACCCTTCATTAAACTGTGACTATTAACTCACTGGGAAAACACTGGGGAAAGACAATGGCACAAACTTTAGACTAATTCGAGTGTTGCCTATCATCAAGACTTAGCTGTTACCTGCTAAAACAAATGCTTTCCTGTATCCTGAATTATTCTTTATCCTTTGCAACCAGTGTACCCAGAATATACTTTTATCACAGAACCTAGAACATTGTATTTTTCCATTTTTTTTCTAATACTAGTAAACTCTAAGTTCCTTAAAAGAACTAGTTAGGCTTCTTCATATCCTCTCTTCCCCCAGTGCTAATTACAGTAGCAGGCCCCAAATGTTTCCTTATTAATGCCTATGTGTTATTGAGGCTACAGAATATAAAACTTTTTTTTTTAAGAATATAAAACTTTTATTAGGATTCATTTACATGTTAGTTCAAGCATATTAAGAGGTTTTTAACTTTTTAATGTGTGAGCCCATAATATGCCACAAATAGAACACTGTACTTGACAAATATGTTAAACTTGGGGAATATCAGGCACTGGTTACAAAAAAAAAAAAAAGTGAGCACTACTTTCTAATCCTTTAAATTTTTATATTTAATATTTTCCCTAAAAATCTACCTCAAATACTAGTTCTGTTTATCATCTCATTTTACTTTCTTATGATATCTGATCTAAATTTTTAAAATGTTTTTCTCTTCCACAGCAATTTTACACATTAAGTTAACGTGACCTAATTCCAACAGTTTCCTGTCCTTAAAGATATCTTGACCAAAATTTAAAATTATACACATTATCTGTTTCTAACTCCATTCCCACATCTTAAAAATCTTTAACACGAATTTTCTTTTTTATTCTCTAAGATTAAAAAAAGAAAAGCCCAAGCTCTGGCTTTAAAACAATTTAACGCTAGCCAATGCATGGATCGAATTCATGACACCTCAAAAAATTCCAACTTTGCTTAAATTCTACCAATGGCTGACTATTACTTTGAAAAACATCTATTTGGCAAAATTCTTTAAAAAAAAAAAAAAATATATATATATATCTTGATTTTAGTGCCTTATTTATTAAAATATAGCTTTCATAAGGTTCCAGACCTAATACATAGCATTCAACCTGTTTAACCAAAATTTCAATATGTACATTTATCTATTATTTATATACTACAATCTGAACCCTTTTTTCAAACAAAATCTTGTAAGGAAACTTGCTACATTCAACACTAAAACAAATGCACTCCATCTAATGGAGCACCATGAAAACTACTAATCTAGAGTGAGTAGTAAACCAGCATAATCCTTTTTTTGTCCTGTATTGATAGGAAAACATCTACAAGTCATAGCATAGTATACATTTGAGTGAGCATATCGTACTATTTTATCTACTATTTTATCTTATTTGCTGATCCTAAGGTTAAACAATGGTGAACAGTTGTATTCTCATCAAAACTTCATACCTGGTCAGCTAACATAAGTACAGTTTTCATTGTGAACCTTCTTGAACAGAAATTGAAGAGGTCTTCAAGGCTGGGTCCAAGAAGATCCATGACTAGCACATTGTAGTCTTTTTCCTGACCATACCACCTAACAAAAAGGGAAAAGGAAAAGCAAAGGCATTATGAAAAGCTGATTATTGCTTAATACCACCAAATTTTTTAAAATTCTTAAACCTTAAGAATAAGTTTTCCTCCTCTGGTTCAGATGATGAACCCACTGAGTAATACAAAGTAAGAGTAAAGAGTCTTTTCTTCCATCAAGTGACCCCATTGACCTATTAAGACAAGTCTTGCCTGGCAGCCTTAACACCCCTCTTACGGCAGCTGAAGTTTATACACATCTGCCACGGATCCTGTGATCTTGGGCAAGTTCTTTAATCTCACCTGGTCTTACTTTCTAACTGAAGAAATGAAGAAGACTATGCATAGCAGTCATTTCAAAACATTTCAGGCAGCAAAGATCCCTAATATTATATATCTCTTGTCCCATTCCCCACCAACTATTTAATCAATAATTACTTATCCTTTTTCTTTAAAAGAGTCACATTTTTTGTTTAGTTTCAGATTACAGGTAACAATCAGTATTACCACAAAGATGAAACTTGTTTTCCATGGGAATCATGTTTTCCTTATCCCATACTATATTGTGAAAATATTTCTCCCCAATAACTCTGCTAATTTCAGAGACTTCAAGGGCTTGGAATTACTGTAATAAATGATTTCAAGTTTCTATCTATACTAATAAAAGCCTAAATGGCCCTCGCGCACATCATCACAAAATGCTCGCCACAGGATAGCTGCCCCCACAGTAGAGGCGGGGCTGGTGGCTGCTCTTAGTGGGGAGGCCTGGGGGTCCCACAGTGTGGAGGAGGCCTGTGGCGACAGGGGAGGACAGTTGGGGAGCAGTTAGGTGTCAATCAGGGCGGCAGGCAGAAGCGATTAGGGGCAATTAGGCAGGTGAGTGGTTAGGAGCAAGTGGTCCTGGATTGTGAGAGGGATGTCCCAGATTGGAGAGGGTGAAGGCTGGGCTGAGGGACCTTCTCCCTGTCCCCTCCTCCCCCTGCACGAATTTTGAGCACTGGGCCACTAGTATGACTATAAACATTACTGCCCTAACCTGTGTGGTTCAGGCCCAGTTGTTTGGAGCATCATCCCTTTACCAGGTTTGATTCCTGGTCAGGGCACATACCTAGATAGTAGGTTCAGTCCCTAGTTGGGATGTGTGCTGGAGGCAACCAATTGATGTCTGTCTCTCTCAAATCAATAAAAAAGTAAAAACTAAAAAACAAAAGTTCATATTCCTTTTTACACTTCAGCTTCAACTGTTCTTGAAAACTTGATGCATGAATAACTGCTATCAAACACAAAAGGAATTTATTTCACACCCTCTTTGCTGAAATAGGTATGCTGGTGGGGAAAGAGTTTCTGCTTAAACTTCCAGAAATCTTGCCTACTAAGCCTAAGAAAAGCAACAGGTGTGCTAAGGCAGAGTTGGTCTGCCCTTACTATATGCAAAACTGTTACTTAAAGTAAGTATTCACTTAACATTGTCAACAGATTCTGTGACTTTATGCAAAAATTAAGCAAACAATGGTAGAGCATCGGCTTGGGGACTGAAGGGTCCTGGGTTTGATTCCGGTCAGGGGCATGTACCTTGGTTGCGGGCATATCCCCAGTGGGGGGTGTGCAAGAGGCAGCTGATCGATGACTCTCTCATCGATGTTTAAACTCTCTCTCCCTTCCTCTCTGTACAAAATCAATAAAATATATTTTTAAAAAATTAAGCAAACAAAATATGACATTTTAACTCTTGATATAAACAAAAGTTCCTACAGTATGTCATCAGTGTTTTAACAAAATGACATTGAACAAAACATTATGTTCTATAATTTTCCCTCTTCCTTCCTTATTTTCCATATGGGAATTCAACACTTCACATTCCTCTAAACATTTAACTTGAAGAGAAAGCTTGCAGTGTTGAAATGGGAAGAAGTGAATAAAACATAACAAATAATAATACTATTAAAAGGTAAATGATGAACAGAGTGATTAGGTTATGTTCTCCTTCCCTTTTTTCCCACCATTTTTTCCTCTTGCATTACTTAAATTTGTGCTAAAGAGCTGTCAGAAACTTCCAAAATCAATTCTGGCTACTAAAAATACCCAATAATAAAAGCTGTAGCAAAAAAAAATTTAACGGTATGTAAAAAACATTTTATCCCCCCCCCATTTTTTTATTCATTTATTATCTATGTACATAATTTACCATTGTCCTCATGTAGCAAAATTTTAATATAAACCTAATTTATTCAGGTTATAAAAAAAGAGAACTTTTCTATACAACACCACCAAATCCAGAAAGAGTGAAGGCATTAGGGAAAAGCACAAAAAGTCAAAGGCAAAAGGGAAAAAATAAAGTCTCATAAGACCCCATCTCCTCTGTACATCAGAGGTTTGCACCAATGGCTTGCTGACAAAGCTGCAATAAACAACCATCAAAGCCCAAATCCAAACCTGAAATGTAAAAGACACAAATTCATACTTCATATATGCACGCAATTAATTACACATAATTTCACAAACACTTTTTGAGAAGTGCTTTAAAATAAGCCTTAACAAAATGCTCTAATAATAATTACATGAGCTTAAAAAAAAAAATCAGGTTTTTTTACCCGGCCAGTGTGGCTTAGGGGTTGAGCATTCACCTATGAATCAGGAGGTCAAGATTTGATTCCCGATTAGAGCATATACCATGGTTGAGGGCTTGATCTCCAGTGGGCAGTGTGTAGGAGGCAGCTGATCATTACTGATGCATCTCATTACTGATGTTTCTATCTCTCCCTCCCATCCTCTCTGAAATAAAATATATATATATTTTTTAAAAATAAAGTTCTTATTGGGTATTTTTCTCCTTACTTGCTTAGTGTATAAGACACATCCACTATTCTCAATGTGAAGATTTTATAAATCAGCCATAAAATATAGTTTAGAAGTAAATGTTTCAAAGGCATTCCCCCCCCATGGAATAACCATGCATTTCTAAAACAGTTACATCTTCCTGCTTATTTCTCTAAAGCTAACACCTCATACTCTCCCCATCTGTGCTTTCCACCTGTCTAACTCATCCAGACATTATTACACACAGATTAGAAGCTAGGAACAGTCTTCTGTTTATCTGAATCCTATTTATTCACTTTCTATCTTCACCTCTATATTTCCCATTTCTATTCTGGGAGCTTCTATTGCATCTTTAAAAAAAAAAAAAAAAAGGTACCTTAAGGTCTGAAGAATATGCTCTAAGACAGTGGTCAGCAAACTCATTAGTCAACAGAGCCAAATATCAACAGTACAACGATTAAAATTTCTTTTGAGAGCCCAATTTTTTAAACTTAAAACTTCTTCTAATGCCACTTCTTCAAAATTGACTCACCCAGGCGGAGGTATTTTGTGGCAGACACACTCAAGGGGCCAAAGAGCCACATGTGGCTCGCAAGCCGCAGTTTGTTGACCACTGTGCTAAGAGAAGGCAAGGTCACTTTTTGTTCTCATCTCCTTTCCCCTGAACCCATATCCAGACTAAATCTAGTTTAAAATATTAAGACACACATAAAAGCACAAATGTAAGCACACATTCACAAGTTACTGGCGCCGACAAAAAATGTTAACATAAAATGCAGAAGACCAAAATATCATAGGAACAAAATTTGTCCAAAGAAGCCTCATGAAAATGATCTGTTCCGGTCAGATCCTGAAGAAGGGACAATATTCTGAAAGGGAAGGTAGAAAAGGGCATGCTAGACAGGGGCAAGCACAGACCTACTGAAGAAGAGTCAAAGTGGCTGATAACTTCGGGCTATATTAGCCAGGCCAGTGGTCGGCACACCGTGGCTTGCAAGCCACATGCGGCTCTCTGGCTCCTTGAGTGTGGCTCTTCCACAAAATACCATGTGTGGGCGCGCACATACAATGCAACTGAAACTTCATGGCCCATGCACAGAAGTCGATTTTCGGCCTGGGCAAGTCTATTTTAAAGAAGTGGCCAAAGAACTGCATGTGGCTCGCAAGCCGCGGTTTGCCGACACAGCCAGGCTAAAGAGCTTTTAAATTTTATAAATAACTAGGGGAATTATCAAGAGTGTGACTGGAACATAATATAATTAAATCAATATTTTAGGGTTAGCCTTGGGAACAGAATGCAATATGAAAATAAAAAGTAAGGAAAGGAATAACATTGGCATGGAGACCAACAAGAAGTGTCAACAGTTGGAGATTTGAGGCAAGGGTTTTTGTTTTTTGTGTGTGTGTTTTTTGTTTTTTGTTTTTTAGTTTTTTTTTAGGATTCTCTATAAAAATGGAAATATCTTAGAAAAGAAATGACTAAAATAATTAAAATAAATAAGTAAATAAATAAATAAGTAAAGTGTTGCTATGAGACCTAAGGACTTCCCAGAGCAACAAACCAGTGTAATTATCTTAAGTATGCAGTTCAGATTAAAACACCCAATTATGTTCCATTCCTATGAATAGGACAATAACAACAGAAATAAAATGTATTTGTTTAATGTAGGTCCTCCCTTTTAGAGTATCAACTTGATAGGTGTAATGGTTAATTTTATGTGTCTACCTGACTGTGGTAAGGTAAGCTAAGTAAACCATTATTTTGGGGTGTCAGTGATAACTAGCACGAGTCAAGAATGATATTTGAATGACAGACTAAATAAAGATGATCATCTTCCCCAAGTTACAAGGCCTGAATAGAACAAAAAAGGTGGAGGGAGGGAGAATTCACTCTCTTCATGGTACCCACACTAGTGGTTTTCAGGCTTTTAGGCTTAGACTACAATTAAACTGGTTTTCCTAGGTCTCCAGCTTCAAACCAACAGATCACAGGATTTATCTCCATAACTGTGTGAGCCAATCCCTCGTAATCCCTTTCAATACACCTATATATAACCCATTGGTTTTATTTCTCTAGAAAATCCTAACACACAAAAAAAGAATATCCTAATACAGTAGAGGCAGACAACTCTATATTCCCAGCTTCCAGCACAATGCCTTAAATACAGGAAGCTCAGTAACATTTGCTGA